AATTGAGAGCTCAGGAAAAAGCTCATATAACTGTGCTCAACAGATTTTTAGCAAAAGTTCTAAGACCAAGATGAATCTCTTATGGTGCTGGGACAACTGGATATCTATACATAAAAAAATAAGTTAGAGGTTGAATATGATAGAAAAGCCATAATCTTGGCAATTGGTGCACTGGGGTAGAAAGGTCTCAGCTCAAGGCTAGCCTGAACTGTATGTCAGGACTTTACTTCAAAACAAACAAACAGGTAACAAAAGTCCCAGAAGTCATTGCCCCTATTATGACGGTTAATTTGATTGTCAGTTTGATCGACTGTAGGAGCACCTAAGAGACACACTTGTGGGTGTGTCATCTACGAGGGTGTTTTCAGAGAGGCTTAATGGAAAAGGAAAGACCCACCCTGGATGTGGTCAACACCATTCCACAGGCAAGAGTCTCAGACAGAAAGAAAAGGGGGAAAGCTGAGGAGCAGCGTTCGTCGTTCTGATTCCTAACTACAGGCAACTTATGAGCAGCCGCCCCCAAGGCCTGCAATGCCCTCCCGGTGATAACACGCTGTGAGCCCGGAAAACCCCTTCCTTGGGAGCTTTTGTCGAGTATTTTGACACAGCATTGTCTCAGGAAGTAACTAATGTACACTACTTGACATCATGTACAAAAATTCACTAAAGAGCTTCCAGGTAGCTGGACACTCCTGGAGAGGGCATGGATGTTCTACCTCCCTATCCACATGCCTGGGCCTACCTATCCTTTCCACACAGCTGTTTGTATGTATCCTTTAAAATACTGAGTCATAGACAGGTAAATGTCATATAGCCATATGGTATTCCTGATCAAGCATTTGGCTTCTACCAGAGCCAAGGAGCAAACTTGGGAGCTGGTTTCTCAAAGTATAAACACATTTGTCTAAGAAGGCATATCTGAGTGGGGGAGGGGGTAGCACACGCCTTTAATCCCAGTACTCAGGAGGCAGAGGCAGATGGATCTTTGTTGAGTTGGAGGCCAGCCTGGTCTGCAAAGTGAGTTACAGGATGGCCAGGGCTACATAGAGAAACCCTGTCTTGAAAAACCATACCAAAACAACAACAAGAAGAACAAGAACAGGAAAAGGGCAGGGCTGCAATTAAAAGAAGAAATATATCAGTATCTTTCTATCAGGAATTCCCAGGTGGTCCATGAATGTCCCTATCTGCAACAGACACTTGAAACAATGTTGAACTGGTGGGGTCATAAGACCAAGCCTCAAAGCAGCTTATAGTAAACCTATAGCAGCTTCAAAACCTTTTCCTGTTCCATGTCTGTGCTAGTTTCCTATTGGTGTGTAACAAGTTGCCACAATTTAGTGGTGATAACAAAACAAACCAACAAAAACTTTAACCCCCATGGACTAAATATAAGGGCAAGAACTGTCGAACCTCTTCGACTAAAACATGAGGGTAAACTTTCATGACCATGAGTTTAGCAATGGTTTCTTTTCCTTCCTTTCTTCCTTCTTTTCCTTTGAGAAAGATTCTCGCTAAACCCAGGTTAGTCTCTTACCTCTCCTTCCCACAGATGTGTGAATGCCTCGTGGGCAATGGTTTCTTAACTCTGATGTCAAAACTACAAGCAATGAGGCCAATGAGATGGCTCAGAGGGTAAAGCACTATCTGCCAAGAGTGGTGAGCTGAGTTGAATCTCCATGACCTCCATGGTGGAAGAAGAGAATTCACTCCCACAAGTTGTCCTCTGAACTCCACAAGCTGGCTTCTGACCTCCATATTTGGGCTGTGGCAAATACATGCCCCTCAATCAATCAATATACTACTACTACTACTACTACTACTAATAATAATAATAATAATAATAGTAAACCAACTATAAGCAACAAGCTGGAAGTAGCAGTATGCCCGTAATCTCAGTACTTGGGGTGCTAAGGCAGGAGGATTCTGAGCTCAAGGTTAGCCTGGGCTTATAGTGAGACTATTTATATATAACTAAGTAAATATGCATGTATATGAAGAACAATGGAAAAATATATAGACTACATCACAATTCAAAACATTTGTGTAAATAAATACCATCAAAAAGTTAAAACAAAAACCTTTTGTTTCTAACTGCAAATTATATATCATCCAATAAATTTCTGGTATTCAGAATATATTAAGAATCATTCCAACTCAACAATAAAAGACACCTCAGTTCTTTTTGTTTGTTTGTTTGTTTTTGAAACAGGGTTTCTCTGTGTAGCTTTGGAGCCTGTCCTGGAACTCACTTTGTAGACTGGGCTGGTCTTGAACTCACATAGATCCACCTGGTTTTGCCTCCCAAGTGCTGGGATTAAAAGCGGGATTAAAGGCGGCGCCACCACCGCCCGACTTGACACCTCAGTTCTTAAAGTGATCAAAAGATTTAACTAGGTATCTGTCTTAGTTACTGCTGTGAAGAGACACTATGACCAAGGCAACTTATAGAAGAAAGCATTTGATTGGGGCCTTACTTACAGTTTCAGAGG